TAATTATTACATCCACATGATTAACAATTATTACATCCACATGGACGCAGTTACATAAAGGACGCACAAAGTTGTGCCAACAATATATTTAACAGGAACGGATTCAGCCTTACTGGAGGATATAATAAATAGTGCAACACGCAGAGTTTTTATTTATAAACAGAATTTACTGATCCACGATTACAAGTGGCTCATCAGTCGTTTTGAGGAAAAATCATTTTTTCAGTTTTCAGTTTTTTAATATCAGCTATGAAATAAACTAAGATCTATGTTCTACCAAACACTTAAGTTCCTCTGTGTTTTCAGTAATCATGGTAATAAATTTGTGCGCAAAGTTAATATTTTCAGACTCAGAATGGATGGATAAGCCGGTTGCGCAACACAGCAGCTTGCGCGCACACACACACACACACACACCGACACACAATCATTCGTTCTTTGCATGATAAACATATTTTATTCCTATTTTTACTTGTGATTTTTTTCTCACTCACTTTATATTAAATTAATTATTTTTATTACTTTAGAAATCATTTCTGATCACGCAGGGATCAAACAAACATGTCCTTCACACATGCAGGAAGTAATTTGCATCTGTTTAACATATGTTAATGAAGGTGTGTCAGGGGAGGTGTCTTACCTGCGCTCAGTTCCACGTTAATTGTGTACAAAAGAAATGTGCGTGGATTCAGGCGTACGCACAGTTTGATACATCTGGATTTTTTTGTGCGTACGCTGTTTTCTGGATTTGACCGTACGTCAGGTTTCAGTAAGAAATCCACGTAAGTCTTTGTACATGAGGCCCCAGGACTTCTACTCTGAAGCTGAATATGTTTTGCTTCCATTCCAATGGTGTGGAGTTAGAAACTTTATAGACCTTCATGAGAGACCTCATTAATGCTCAGAATCAGAATGCAGATCAGACCAGAACTGAGTCATCAGATGAGTGAGAGTTTTTAGCACCATGACAGGATGGATACATGAGTTTGTTTTTGCTTTCAGTCCTTTGCTCCTTTTCCAGAAGTTCAGTTCTGAGTAGATGAAAAGTGCCAAGGCCAAATATAAAGATTGGCTAAAACAAGCATAGCAGATAATATTTTAGTGGTCCTGATTTTACACCTTCAGAACCGATGCACACATGCTAACATGTAGCATCTATATTTACTTTTGTAAACACAAACGTGTGACGCCACATTTTTTTCTTCTTTTTTTCACCTCAGAGCTGTAGACTGTTCACGCTGGAGTCTGACGGAGGTCACATTTATTTGAACAAACACACAAAAAAAAATCAAACCTCAGCAAAAACTCAGACCAGAACATTAAGTCCTGTAGTTTGAATTTAACTGTGGAATTAGTTTTTGACCTAAACTGTGTTTGAAAGCTGTTTAAGATTTTAATTTCTGCTGTTTAAATATTAAATAACTCTTATGTTTTCAGTCAGATTTGACCTTTTATAGGCAAACATCTGTGCACTCATATTTTTTCTGAATAGACGAGTAGATTGTAACTTTCCTTTCTTGTGATGGGAAACTTCACTCTCTGCAGGACAAAAAGATGGAAATGGTTCGAGTAAGGAAGGTTAGCAGTGCGCTGGTTTTCTTCCTGACATGCCAACCCTGCATCACTACTTACGCTACAACTTCTTTTAATTACTTTTTGTTGTTTATTGTTCCATTGTGGAGGCACATATTGCTTGAATAATTTAATTTGCATTAATTTATGGCTGTGTGCATTTTTTGGCTTATGCATGTTTTTGCCACGTTTAAGGAAACAGTACTCCATTTCTTCATTTATTCTAAAATGTTTCAGTTTGGAGTATGTCCACACATTTATATTTATTTGACTCTCAAACCACAGAGCATTACTAATAATTCAGTTTGAAATGTATCCACCTGTGCCCTCAACTAAGAAGCAAGTTCAACTTATCAAAGAATTCTTTAAAGTAACAGTGATGATGCTTATTAAGTAAAGTAAGTAAAGTAAAGTTTTATTTATATAGCGCCTTTCACAGAAATAAATTCACAAGGTGCTGTACATTCAGGGTAGGGGGAAGGGGGCAGTGAAGAAACACCCATTCAAGAAGACATACATGGCAAACATGGGGGAACAGGTGGAAACGGTCATGCAGCAAACACAGTTGCGCTACCTTTAACAATAGAAAAACTAAAAATCACACAAGGGAAGATGAGGGAAAAAAAATTTAAAAAGCAGCTGCAGCTGGTTGTAAATCAACCTTAAGGACGTCTGACTCTGGATCTGCTCATGCAAAGCAGGACGAACTGCATCGACAACACCTCATTTTGCTTAATAAAACTGAAGCCTAAAGCTCAGTTTTTGTCACCATGTGGTACTTTTGGAACCAACATTTGCATACTTAGGATGTAAGGTTTAACCATTGATGGAAAAGTCCCACCTACACACCCACCCAACTCTTTGTGATGCTGTCAGAGTGTAAAGGTGTAGAATTAAACTAAAACTAAATGTATTATAAAAATGCATATCTGAAACATTCCATATAGCAGAAAGTCTGGGCCAGATCTGGTTAAGCTGGCCTAACAGTGGTTTGGTATATGTGGTCCAAATCTGTCAGTACCACAGCTGGCCCAGTTGTTTGGTGTACTGTATATGGGTCCTGGGCCATGCATGGACCACCTCTAACAAACTCCATCTGGGCAACAGAAGAGCTGTCACTCTCTGCAGTATCTGGACCAAGTGTTACTGCTTAGGAATGTGGGCCAGACCTGGGCCAGACAAATTTTGCTATATGGGATACATAAGGTAAGTACTACTTGAGTCAACAAGCATCAGCAGCTAAAATAGAAAACTTTTAGGTGTATTTTTCTATGCAGTGGAGCAAATATTGCTACAATAACAGACCCTGGTAAACAGTGAAGCCACTTTGTGACACTAAATATCCTGAATGAAACCTGAAGTTACCTCAAACGGTTCCCGCGGTTCCTTAAAAAGTCTTAAAAAGCATTAAATTCATTGATTCAAGAATAAGGCTTTAATTAGCCTTAAAATGTCTTAAATCAATCTTTCAGAGGTCTTAAAAATATTAAAGCATTGTAAGGATGATTGTAATTCATTTCAAATATTAAAATAATTGTTACCAGTTGATTGATTCATTTTGTAAAATAATTTAGTGAATGTCTCTCGCAGCTAGTTTTGTGGATTTTTCCATTTGTTTTTTTTAGTGTGAAGTTGTCTTAAATTTAATTTCAAGTGGCATTAAAGAGGTCTTAAAAAGTCTTAAATTGAACTTGCCTTAAGCTGGAACCCTGATAAAACACTGAGCCTGCTTCGTAGTACAGGGCACAGATTCAATTATTAGTTTTCATGTTTCTGAATAATATGATGTGTTTGTTTTACATGTAATTGAGTAATTTTCATTCAAAGTTCAAAAAGTAACCATAATCTTGTTTAGATCATGTAGATTATAAGTGATCCGGTGCACATTATTACAGTACTGTACACAACACCAGCATTCTCTGCATGCACTGCATGTCACACTGAAGTGCAACCTTTTCACCAGTTTGTCCTTTAATGGTCAAAACTGGTAGGTGTGAGTGTGTACTTGTTTCTGTTACAGAGTGTGGACTGTCATGTTTTTAACCAACAGGACATTTTCCCAGTCCTCACTTTGTTTGCAGCTCTACTAGTTAGGTTTAGAGATATGGTGTGAATTAAGTTTGGGTTCAGATTAGGGTTAGGAGTAAACTAGTAATGGTTAGGTTAGGTTTAGGGTCAGGTATGTACCTGGGACGTTAGGTTTAGGGTTAAGGTTATGTTAGGAGAGTATTTACTCAAAGGGTCCCATTTGTTGCCTGAGTGCTCTGCAGATTTGGTAAATCCCTTAGGAAGTGCACGCTCACTCGAGATCAGGTCCAGTCCTGGGCCTCTGGGTCCTGTCTTTATCTGAAGTGCATGGTGGAGTCGGCTGTTCCAGTTGGAGACAGCCTGTTGATCTGTATGTGCTGTAAGATGTAGTGGAATATGACTGACATATTCTGTGAGTGTAGACTTACTGTTTGAGTAGAACTCAGGTACATTGAGTGTTTGTCATGTGCTTCATAGAGAGGGAGGAGAGTTTAGAGATTAGGAAAGACGAGGCTGATCGTTAGGGGAGGAGTCAGGAATGGTTGGGGGTGTGGTCTGGTAGGTGTGTAAGAGATGATTATAATGGGGTTAATCTAATTAAAAGAAATGTTTAGATTGTTTTGAGGAAATCCTTCTAGTGACTGTTTACAGTTCACTGAGTTTAGGCTTAGTATTAATTTCTGGTTTAGATGATAATTTTAGAGTTATTAATAGTGTTGGTCTGCCATTTAGGGGGAATAGTCCAACAGTGGTAGTGCTCTCACGGTGCTGTGTTATGTGGGTGAACCATAATGCTTTACGGTTGGGGAGGGGGCGTGGTTTATTATGGTGGAGGGCTAGGATTGGTGGATTGGTTTTAATGTTTGGGCTCCGTTATTTTCTTGGTTTGGAATATAAAGAGGCTGGGTATTTTTAGGGCTGTACGTTGGGGCAATAATGGTTTGTTTGGTTTAAGGTTCTTCAAGGAGGATTATTTTATATGTAGAAACCTGTGTGGTTAGGATTAGAGTTAGGCATGTATCTGTGGTTAGTTCTAATAATAATAATAATAATAATAATAATAATAATAATAATAATAATAATAATAATAATGCATTTTATTTATAAAGCACCTTTCAGGATACCCAAGGATGCTGTACAATAGACAAAAGTAAAAATGAAAAAAAAAAACCTTTAGATACATATAATGATAAGGGTAGTGTGGGAGAAACAGAAATGTGGAGTATGGAGTACAGAACAGTCATATAATAAAATACAATAATGCAGACAAATTGAACAATAGGGTTGTGGGGAGAAACATACATGGACAACAAAAACAGAAAATAGGAATTAAACAGCGGTAGGCTAATTTTGAAGAGATGTGTCTTCAGACCAGTCTTAAACAGGGAGAGAGAGGTTGTATTGCGTAACTCATGGGGTAGTGAGTTCCAGAGTTGCAGAGCAGAGCGGCTGAAAGCTTTGCTTCCCATGGTGCTGAGGCGGGCAGGGGGTACTGAGAGTTGGAGGGAGGAGGCAGATCTTAGAGAGCGGGAGGTTGTGGAGATGTTCAGGAGGTCAGACAGGTAAGGAGGGGAAAGATGGGCTGCTGAGTTCTGAACCATCTGTAGTTTGTGAAGAGTTTTATTGGGGAGGCCAAACAGTAGGGAGTTGCAGTAGTCAATCCTGGATGTTACTGTGTACAAGGATGGCAGTGGAGCTGGGGGTGAGTAAAGGTCGGAGACGGTTAATGTTGCAGAGATAACAGTAGGCAGATCAAGTCACATTGTTAATGTGGGATGTGAAAGAGAGTGTGGTGTCAACGATGACACCGAGGCTCTTGACCTGAGGCGAGGGGGAAAGAACGGAGTTGTTACGAGTGAAGAGAAGATGCTGGGATTTGGAAATGGAGATTTTGTCCCAACAGGGAGGAGTTCAGTTTTGTTATGGTTTAGTTGGAGGAAATTGTTAGAGAACCAGTTATTGAGCTCACTGAGGCAGTTGGTAAGAGTGGAGGATGATAAGGTGGAATTCGGTTTTGTTGAAATGTAGAGTTGAGTGTCGTCGGCATAAGACTGGAAATGGAAACCAAATTTATGGAAGATGTGGCCAAGCGGGAGCAGATAGATTGTGAATCTATACTAGGTAAAGAGTTAAGGTTAGGAATAAACCAGTAATGGTTAATGTTAACTATAGATCAGCAATGGGTAATTTTAGGGAAAATGTCTGGGTTAGACATAAATGCAGTTACAAAAATGAATGGAAGTCAATACAAAGTCCTCAGCTTTTATACAAATACAAGGATGTGTGTGTGTGTGTGTGTGTGTGTGTGTGTG